GGGGGCCGGTCGGCCCGGCCGAGCCCCAGCCTGCTGGGATGAGGCTGCTGTAGGGTTTTTGCTGGATGGAAAAGAGCTGCGGTGCTGCTGCCCGGAGAGAGGTGGGGAGGGGAGGGCTGTCCAAGTGTGACTTTCACCCCGTGCAGGGGGTTGTCTCTGAAGAAAACTGCTCTGTTCTCTCCCCAGAGCCTCTCTGACCACACTGTCGGCGCAGACCCACCGGCAGAGAGGACAGGTCAAAGGCAGTGAGTATCTTTTTCTCTGTGTCTGTCTGTCTGCAGTGCCTCTGTGTTCAGGTTTTTTTCTGGCTTTCTCTGCATGTGAATGGATGGTCTTAATCTCTTGAAGCCCCTGAGATCTCATGGTTTGGTTTGGGTTTGTTGTTTTTTTTTTTAACCTTTGTGCTGCTCATTTTTTCTATTGGGATGGCTTCTTTATCTTTGCTCAGGTGATCTCCTGGGGTGGTTTGATAACCCGAATGTCATAATCACACCCCTCCCTTTCTGTCTCCCAAGGAGAAACCCCCAAACCACATCCATGATGAGACTGGCAAGTCTCCTTGACCGGGGTCCTTTCATAGGAGGGGGAGGTAGGATGAATGATGGAGCATGGGGCAAAAATCCTCACCGTGGACCCCTACCAGGATGCCTTTACCAGATGCCACAGATTATATTTCTAAAGTCATAACTGACTGGCTTTATTTGCAATCGGAAGAAATAGCTGTGGGTATGTCAGCCTAGCAGTGGGCTTGCATTCACGGGAAATATAGGTCTCGGCATCCGTGAAGTCAGACAGACTTTGGGATCACGGGGAAGTTTGGTGGTGCTCAGCTGTGCAGGTGGTTGTTACAGGGCTGGCGAGCCGTTGAGAGCAGGGGTGAGCAGAAGGGTGTTTTGTAACAAGACCCCAAAAAGCAGGCTGCTAGAGGGGGCTGCAAGGGAGAGGGCACCTGGCTCCGCTTCCAGCTGTCACTTCGGAGCAGCAGTGGGAAAGAGGAGTAGGGGCTGTTGGACTATAGGAATTTGTGTGCTATGGCCCCCACATGCGGGTGAGGCTGTTAATGAGGAAATTTAAAGGGGCTTAAGGAATTACAAGGATTGATTTCAGTTAAAGCGCATCGAAGCAGCCGGTCAGGGTAGGGATTAAGGAAATGTGCTCACTGGCATGTAGCGCAATCCCAGTTCCATTAATTTAGTTGGGAAGAGGCTTTGTGCGTTTTTAATGTAATCAGGTTTTAAAAGGGACGTTGCGTTGGGCAGCCCAAGCTCTGGGATCTCCCCAGGCCCCATCAGAGCGGGGTCCTGGCTCCTTTGCACACAGCCTCTGCTCTCGTCGGTTCCTTTGTCTCCTCCTCCGTTGTTCCCTCTGGGCAAGAGGGATATGGAGGTTACCTGGAGCTTGGCCCTGTCCTGGCAAATAAGAAACCTTTGCCCTTTGTTCACTATACGGTCCTGCTCTCTGTCCCGTCGGGCTCCTGACTGGTGGACCTCACCTTCACTCTCTGATGTGAGATTTGTTCCACCAGCCGCCTGTGTGCCAAGGCTC